TCTGGCCCAGCAGGAGGAGCAGGTGCTGGTTCCAGTGCAGGCTCGGGTGCAGGAGCAGCTTCGGGCTCTGGCTCAGGTTCGTGAGCAAGAGCAGGTGCTGGCTCGAGCATCGGCACGCCTAGGTCGGCAAGTGATTTTTTCAAACGATCTTGCAGATCATCGCGAGTTTCAGGTGTTGTGACTCCTAGTGCGTTAGCTGCGTGTAGCTCTCCGATAATGTAACCCAGTTTCGGATTAATTCCTGAAAAGAAATCACTGGCATACAAGGCTCACCAGCCCGCAGCGAATGGGTGGCGTGATCAGCAGGGTCCAGACCCAGAGCCACCGCCGCTGCTTTGAGCGCTGTGTTAACTGTGCTACGCTCCAGGACCCTACCGCAGGCTAAGCAGAACACGGGCCGCTTGGACCCGTTGGCTCCGAAGCGGGCTGGGTTCATTGTGTACAGCTGCCTAAGGAGGCATAACGGGTTGATGTCAGACGGCGTGTCACCTGCTCGCAGTTTGATATTGAGCTTGTAACCGTCGTTGTAGATGTCTGTTTTGGAGCCTGGGATGTGGATGACCAACTCGTCCGCTGCCATAATTTGTTCCCACCCCAACTTGTGACCTGCCTGGAAGATGTGGAGATGCTCCATGCGGAGGACCTTGTCCTCGTGGACCACACCATCCTTTGACAGGTATTCACAGGCACGCAGCAAAAAGGAGAAACCGAAAGACACCGCGGTGAGTAACAGCAAGTCATCCCACAGCCCAGTGTCCAACCCCAGTTGGATCTGCTTAATATGTGCCACTGTCACCGGATGCTTGCGCTTGGGGGACTTCTGTCGACGCTTCAAGCCAGCCATGGCCATCTTAAGTCGCAACTTGTCCTTGAGAATATCCCTGCCATCTGCGACCAGGTGTGCAAACCTGAGTGCATATAGACACACATGAAGGGTGGAATGCTTGTATCCATGGCCTATGCCAGCCCAGTAGACAAATTCCATAAGATCGTTTTCCTCAGCCTCGTCGTCGGTGCCTAACATAAATGGTTTTCGGCGTACATGACGCCATAAGTGCCACTTCTTTAAGGAGGACTCATAGGTCTTCTTTGTGCCTGCGGACAAGCGCTCGTACATGAGCTGCATGCCGCCGTTCTTACAAAACTCCTCCTTGTTGTCCAT